ATATCAAATCGAAGGTATTTCAGAGCTCTATACTCTCAAACTTTCAGCGGGGTCGGCTGACCCCCTTGACCCCCCCTTGGCTCCGCCCCTGCACGGAGGCACCCCAAATAAAATCTCGTATGGCGTTTTATAAGAGTGAAGTGCAGAAGGTGTTCGATTAATCAGATAAGCGGCAGTTAATACACACTCACCCCAAAACGAAATCGGTAAGTTCCCCTGAAATCTCAACGCGCGAGCCACATTTAAAATGTGTCTATGCTTATGCCCATTTTGTTGGGGTGTACCAATACATGACGTCTGAAAAACAATTAAACTATGTGCCATTATCACTTCTTACACACAAAAATTTCTTGGAAAATTGTCGTTCCACCATAGCGACAAAAGAAAGAAACATTTTAAAAACTTCCTTTTTGTCAAGCAGTAGACAAATCCAAACAGCACAGGAATAATCGTCAACAATCGTCAAAAATTGTTTAGCACCACATGAAGACGGGGTTTTATATGGGCCCCATAAATCACAATGAATCATCTCAAAAATAGCATGAGTTTGATTCAAATTAGTAGGAAAAGAGTCCCTAGTCTGTTTAGCTCTAAAACAAATATCACATGGAGAATTTCTAAGATTCTTCAAACCACTTAGGGGAATTAAATTTCCAACAACTTGATAGGCCGGGTGTCCCAACCTTTGATGCCACAATTCCGCCTCCTTTTCTGATTCTCTAACTGTCAATGCATGCTCAGTTGGTTCCTCCCGCAAGTAGTACAGTCCATTCCGCCGTTCACCCGTTCCAATCAGCCTCCTCGAGACACGGTCCTGTATAATACATAAATTACAAGTGAATTGGATAAAACAGTCAAGTGCATCACTCAATTGGGACACAGAGATAAGATTACTCTCTAGCTCCGGGACAAACAAAACATTTTTTAAATGTAGATTATTTGCGCATCACACACTCCCTTCTAGAGTGGCTAGAACCGTTTGTCCATCGGGGAGACCAACTGTGCATGGGTCAACATTCTTTAAATCACACAACAAAAACCGATTGCCACAGACATGATTTGTAGCTCCAGTATCAATAATCCAAGCATTGTTGTTGAACTTACCAGTCATACGATCATTAGTAGAATGTGTGTTACCGAGCATGGAGAGCAAAGAGGTCCATTGTTTGGGTGTGAAACCTGGCAGTGGAGTGTTCTGCCCGCTTTTGTTCTCCCCAGCATTCTGTCCCTGCTTTGCCACGGCCTCAGCTGCCACCGCGGAATGAGCTTTGTTCATTTGTTTTCCATGAGGTGCGCCTGAATTCCCTGTGAGTCCAAAGCTGCTTGTACGTCCACGGCCTCCCCCTTTATAGCCATGAAGTTCGAAAGAACTAGTTACCTCATGTCCCGTAAATTTGCAATAAGGACAAACTAATCTAGATTTATCCGGCTTCACCCCGCGGCCTGCACTTTTTCCTTCCGCTTTAAGAGCAAATCCCAACACCTCTGGCCGTTCTTCTTGAGCCTGCACGATTCCCCGGATGCGCTCTTCCTGTATCATCTATTGGTACGCCCGATTCAAGGTCAGGAGATCAGTTTGCGTCAATAAGTTTGACCGAACACTGCCAAAGAAATCAGCATAAAGGCCCATCAAAAACTGGTGCAGATGTTCATATTCCCTTCTCTTTTCGTGTTAAGTACATCGCATGTGCAATTGTTACACTTGCACGCAATCAACGGCTCATAGTTGTTCAATTCATCCCATAAATTTTGCAATTTAGCATAATAGCTTCCAATGGTCATTCCCTTTGATTGAACACACCTAGCCAAGTCTGTCTTAACTTGGTGTATCTTCGGACCATCGACTGATCCGAAACTTTCCTTCAGATCGTTCCAGAGCCGTCGTGCGTCTTCGTAGTGCGACAGAGTCGTCCTGACCTCCGGTGAAATTATATTCAGAAGCCAAGATACAACCATGGAGTGGTTTGTGAGCAAGTCCTCCTCGGTATAAGGAGGCGTCGGTTTCGTGAGAGTTCCGTCTACAATGACAAATTTCCGTCTTGCCCGGAGCGCTAACCTCACGGCATTAGACCACTCTTCAAAATTATTATTCGTTAGCCGAACGGAAGGGATGAAATCCCCCGGTCTATCTTGGGGTCCCAAGAAAAGCGGTGAAGTGTAATCCATCTTCGCAGCCGGCGTTGCTCCATCTTCCGTCGTCATCCCTGCGGTCCTTCAATCTGCAGAATACGCACAACATGTCAATGTGAATGCTTTGATACCATATTAATTTCGTATGATACGCAAGATTGAAGAACAATATTTGGAAGAGTAAATTATTCTTGTATTTCCAACGGGCAATCGGCCAACATAAATCAGTTGTTATACCGTGGGAGCAACCCATGGTGAGCATGCTGCTCCCACCTTAAAAATTCGCGTGTTACTGTTCACGCGCATGAACAGTAACTTTTTTTTTGTTTTTTCATTGTCCAGGAGCAAAATGATGTAACTCGCGTATAAAAAATGTAACTCACGCAGATGAAAAATGTAACTGCAGGCAAGTCAAAATGTAACTTGTCTAATACGGATAATAAGAAATAAAATATTGATTTCAATGAAAATAATGAGTGTAATTGCTCAATTATTTTACCTAAATAGTGAATATATTTTGTTTTCAATATTAAGACCATAAAAATGTTGTTTACTTTTTTTTTTTTTGCTAAAAATCATTTCTTACAAAAAAGTGATTGTTTTACTAAAAATATCTTATTTTTTGCAAAAAAAAAAAAGAAATTTTCTTTGCAGGGGTTTATTTTGTGATGTAACACATGTTATGACAAATGTAAATTGCGTTGATGAAAAATTTAAGTTAGATGTATGCAAAATGTAATTTGTTAAGACAATCCAAATATAACACACGTATAGGAAGATGTAACTCACGCGTAAAAAAGATGTAACTCACACATAAGAAGATGTAACTTCATATATTGTCACATGTAAACAATGAAAATAAGGAGTCTAATTGCTCAATTAATTAAAGTAAACAATTTATATGTTTTGTTTTTAGTATTAAGGCCATAAAAACTGTTTTAAATGAAAATATTTTTTTGTCAAAAATTCATTTTTTTGCAAACAAGATCTTTTTTGTTTGCAAAAAATTGATTTTTTGTTTCAATAGCAAGAGTTTATTTTGTGATGTAACTCGTGTTATGGAAAATGTAACTCGCATATAGAAATATGTAACACACACATAAGAGGTGTAACCCGTGCATGTGAAGATGTAATTCCATATATGATCAAATTATTCAATCAAGCACTCCAGCCTAGCTGGTTGCGAGGTTACCGTGCCTAGTGGGAGGTCTCGAGTTCGAATCCCGCAAGGCACACAAGGGTTTGAAACTCAATGAAGTGAGTTTCAGCCCTGATTACTCCAGGCTCCCCCCCCCCCCCCCCCAGCCCCCCTGGAGTAAAAAAAACATGAGTAAAAAAAAGATCAAATCCTTCAAATATAAATAATGAAACAAGGAGTATAATTGCTCAATTAATTATAATTCCCAAGAGATATTTTATGAACATATAAACCACACATATGAAAAGCTAATTTCATATTTTATCAAATTTAAATCAAAATAAACAAATTTAATGTAATGTTTCAAAAAACTAACAACATATAAAAGAGATAAGAAATATATTATAGAAAAAAGTGTGAATATTAAAAATATATTATGAAAGAAATGTATAAATACAAAAAAACATCACATAAAAAATAAATATTATAGACAAATTTAATGTAATGTTTCAAAAAACTAACAACATATAAAAGAGATAAGAAATATATTATAGAAAAAAGTGTGAATATTAAAAATATATTATGAAAGAAATGTATAAATACAAAAAAACATCACATAAAAAATAAATATTATTGTAATTTCTTTTGAAGAAAGAAAATAGAAAGAAGTGTATGACTAATGACTAAGATAGAAAAATAGTAATTAATTTATTTTGAAATGATAAAAATTGGATTAGAAAATTATAATACTCTTAATACGTTCCACTGGTCATGAATTAGAAAAAAAAAACCATTCGAAAATAGTGGACTCAATGATTGTTAGCTTTTGATAAAAAGTAAAAAAAAAAACGAAAGAAAGATGGTGGGCTGGGGGAGTAAGAGACCGTGAGACCGTGGTGATCAAAGAAAAACGTCACCGTATTGGGATCGGTGTACCATGAGCATGGTATGCCAATCCCACGGTATAATTTGACGGCATAAATATATAGCGAGAGCCGATCAAAACGGATCGGTAAGATGCATACTAGGAAACAATTACGTAGTATAATGGAAATAATCTTCTACTCAAAATAGAATACTATCCCTAAATAATATTGCTAATATAATATCTCTCTAATAATTGCAATACAATATTTGCAGTTTGCAAATCGGTCCGTAGTTCATTTGCAGTTACCGAAAAGTTTTAGGAATTCACATTGGATTTTCTAAACGGAAATGAACAAAAATATATGAATTCTGTAATAATATACTACGTAGTACTTATTAATTTTGAGTTATCGACCGGTTAACTGGCAGTATTTAGGTAATTAGGTTCATAACCGTTACCGTACCGTTAATAGCATTTCTATCGGTTGGTTAACCGTCCCGCTAGATTTTAAAAACACGGTATAGTTAATCAAAAATAGTACCGAATTTGCAGTTATTTACCACGGTTAGTCGGTTACGGTTTTTATTTCCCACCCCTATGTCCGTTAATAATACTACTAGTTACATTTACAGAAATTGTTTATTTAAAAAAAGGATGACACCCCATCCCTGAGGGCACGATGAGAGGATGTAAATTGGACTATAATCACAATCTGACAGATAGAGAGTGGGGCCCTGTCTCCGATACTTAAAGAGGCCCTATGCATTTTTCAGCATAGTAACCCCTCATCGTAGTTGCCGGGATTCGAACCCGAGACCTAATCAAAAATTGTTTATTTAGACTTGACAAGAAGTCTTTTGGACTGAAACAAAATCCGCGCACTTAAACCTTTCAACTCCGGGACCACATCACTACCAAAAAGTTCAGGCAGCATGAATTTCTGGAAGCCCAAATCCCCGCCGTCACCGTCTCCGCCACTCACCAATTCACCTTCAACGCCACCCTTTCACCTCCTCCTCCACCAAGCCTTCACCTCTCTCCAGACCAACGTCTTTAATTTCCTCCAAAATGCCCTTCCTCGCCCTCCTTCTCCTCCTCCTAACAAATCCCCGGCATGGGCTCGTCTTTCCAACTCCGGTAGCAGCCTCAACGGAGGCGCCTCTGGTTCTCCCGCTGGAATGGGCGGCGGTGGTCGGAGTAGTGAGGGAGTCGGTGCTACGCCTACGATAGCATTTGAGGAGCGATTTACGGGAGTTCCAGTCTACGCCCTCAGCAATCGTAGTCAAGAATTCGTTTTAGTTTCTGCGGGGAATAGCAAAGCAAGTCTCGGTTTGTTTTGCTTTGGTGAAGCGGATGCCAAAGCTCTCCTTCACCAAATGGAGTGCATGGATCCTTCTTTGCACAATAGTTATCAAGTGGTACCCGTGGCACTCAAAGAGGTACCTAATTTCGAAAGTTGATTCCTTTATCTTTGGTTAGGTTTACTTATATCTTCACAGTGCTGGTCTTCAGTTACAAACTGGGATATAATAATATTCATATTTGATGTACTCCCTCCGTCCCATTTTAGTTAGCCAATCTTGACGTTTCCGGTCAAAGGTGGTAAACTTTGAGCAATTATTTGAACTAATATATTTATGTAAAAAATAAAAATATTATACTTTTATGATAGTATTTTCAACAAAGAACATTTTCATATAATTTTCATATTATTAATATTTTATCTATATAAATATATAAGCGGTCAAAGTTAGGTGCCATTGACTTGGAAAATCATGTTTGGCTAAGTAAATTGGGACGGAGGGAGTATGATATAGTGAATAGTGATTATATAATGATTTAGTTTGTAAAATTGTAGTTGCTTGTGTACGAATATACGTATCTTTGAAATGTATGCTTGAAGTTCTATTCATACGTATCACCTGCACATTGATGGTAATGCAGGTGATCCAGCTTAAAGTAGATGGGATGGCTTTTAGGTTGATTCCCGAGGCATCCCAAGTAACGAATGCAATTAAGGTAAAACTGCAATGTGCTTTACCCCAGATGTCTCTTATATGGACTATCTTGATTTAAAATTTAGTTACATAAAATTATTTCTAAACAGGAAAATTAGGATGGTACTAAATGACTGAAGAAATATGGTTTATATAACCATTGACTTTGTTAATAAACCACACTCACCTCCTCTGGACTCTGGTCTTTTTGCTTTGTAACTACTTGGTGTGAATATTTGATAGAACATTAGAACCCTACTCTGCTTTGAACTGTACATTATTATTGATCTGGTTTTAACACCTTTAAATGTAGAAAGGAATAACTGCATAATGTTGACTATCCTATCTAATCATGATATATTATCTGAAACGTAGTTGATTCACTCAATTGTTTCTAATGTTAGCATTCCTCTGAAGTTGGCATGAAGTGAAACAGACAACTGCATTTTCATAGTTCAACTTCTAAAATTGTAGTGGTAATATACTTGTCAGATAGTTGTTCTTTGTGGTAAAAATTCAGTGTCTTTCCAGATTATTGTCTTACTAACTCGAATAGATGCTTGGCATGCAATAATGATCTGTTTTTTAATAGGAGCGTCAAAGAAGTGGTATATCTGATAATACGTTTACTGGGGTTCCAGTTTTCCAGGCATGTTTCCTAATCCTTCTCTTGGAATTGATATTGATGAGCTGAAATGAATAACTTCTTTGAGTTACTAATTATTTGTTTCCTGGTATATTTCTCCAATGTTGAGTGAAATCTATACTTTATCACAAAAAATTGCTCATAAGGATTTAGGTAGTACAGTATATCATATATAGTGTAGTGCGTATTTATTTAGTTCAACTTCTATGCAGTTGATTTTTGTTCAAACATGCTATGCCTTTTGGAGTTTGGATATACTGTATTTTATATTCAGTCTGGAATTAGATGTATTGAAATTTGACCCAAATTTGATTTCTCTTCCGTTGATGTAGGGCCTTATTTTACTCTTTTTTGCATGTTTTCCACTTTTCCTTAGACAACAGGTTATTGTAGTAGGTTATATGATATAGAATAGTTATCAAGAACTCGTGGTGCCCCAAGGTCCACCAATGCTCCAGCGCTCTGAGATGTGAACCATACTTGAGCCACATGTCCCTTGCACGTGAGGTGAAATCAATGAAATATATTAATACATTTCATATGAATATGCCAAACACATGCGAAAGAGTATCGACATCCACAATAAATCTTAAAGTATTATATAATTTAGTTATATGCAACAACATCCAAGCCCTAGTTCACAAGAGTTTGGGGTCTGGCAGTCGGCTACATGAATTGATATATGAAATCGAACTTCAGACGGACAACTATAATGTATATTTTAGATTAGTTTTAACATTCTGTTAAGGAGTTCCTATCAATAAAGTTTATCTGCCTAGTCTGCTCTTACAGGAGTTTTTTTAAAGGCTATCATTTTCAAGTATAATTTTTCAATGCAATTTTCAAGATGGATTGACCATATTAAGCAGACACAGTGATACAGACTTTCTTTCTTGACCGAGCCTTCTTCAGGATTCTTTATCACAGAATCCCTTTAGAAGAGGAATTCACTTAAATATCTTTTAACAAAGTAGATTATTACATTGGATTCTCAGGGAGACAATGGACAGCAAGCAATCATCCCACTATGGGCCTCTTCTTCTTACGAGTTATGACTTCTCTTTCCTAGCCGTTTTTGTATTTGCGAATGCGATGCAACTTTTTTTGACTCTTCTGGAAAGAGAGACTGCAGCAGACTTATCTATTAAAAATCGGTTCACATATTTAAAAGAGAACTGCAGCCAACTGCTAAACAATGTTCCTGCTGAAAGGTTCTACTAGTAGTAAAGGTGTTGTGCCAAAGACCATAAACTTGTATATGAACTATCAGGCTAAGAATTCCATTTTGCATTGTTCTATTAACCAGTATCCCCGAATAGTAAAAACTGTGATGTTGAGATTTGTGCAGAGGAGAGAGAAATGTGCAGAACCACAAATTAGTTGCTTTATAAAGAAAGTGGCAAAGTTTTTTGGGACAACCAAAAAGGAAAAGTTGGCAAAGTCCAATGGGACGGAGGGAGTATGTGTTTTCAATGTGTGGGGTTCTTGAGTCACAAACTAGACATGTAGTTTTATTTTCCCCCCTTTTTTATTTTTCGATTTCACTGGGTTGAGAATAAGCATTTAATGTTATTTAGATAACTGATGTTACTCCTCTAGCCGGATTGGGTATCCTAAAGGCATTAATGCTCTCACTGTTAGATCCCTGGTGCCCAGATAGCTTGCACTTGGTTGTTCATCTTCTACTAATTTAATAAGAGCTGCTCATTAAATTGTGCTTGGTAACATATCACAACACTCTGCTAAAAGTATGGTCTTTGGAGAACCACCAAAACTTGAAACACCTCAAGGTTACACTAACCTTAATCAATGAGTTGAAAGACTCGGAACACTAAAAATGTTATCCAAAGGCAGTGAATTGAAATGTAGATGCTCAAGGATTGCTGTTAAATGAACTACTAGCTACAATATGTCAAGATGGTTCTGATGGAAAACGTTTAATGAATTTATATTTTAGTAACTGAGCCAAGATTCACGAGGTTATAGCGTTATGAAGCTGGGTGATGTTGATACATCAACTATTCAAGTCATGACTCATGAACTTCTCCAACCAATATGGCAGAGTTTCTGGCTTAGTTTTACAAATTTTGCATATTATGTTCTATTAATGTGTTTCTAATTGCCATTATATTACTGTGTATTAATGTGTATTAATACGTGATTAATGTGTCTATTAAATGTGTTTCTAATGTCTATTAATGTGTTTCTAATTGCCATTATATTACTGATTGCAGTCAGAAAGCTTAGTCTTGAGGGGAGAAAACACAAGATATCGTCCACTTTTCTTTAGAAAGGTTAGTTGACTTTGTCAAGTATATTGCTTATAAGATGCAATTTTTACTTTTTTGTGATTTATGTAGGAGGATCTTGAGAAGTTTCTTTCTAGAGCTTCCAAGGAGCAGAATGTATTCAATCCTGCATTGAAGGGAGATATTCAGGTTCTACTTCGTATTTATTATCAACTTAATATTAGCCCCAATAATGTATTCATCCCAATTTTGTTGTGTGGATGTGCTAGGTTGCTGCTCTTGAGGATATAATACAAGGGATGAAGGTTAGGGATCAAACTCTTTTATAATATCGTTATCAATTTACACTTTCTTTTGAGATAAGGCCAAGTTCTGAGATATAATCTTAGGATCTTTCTGTATTATGATATCTTTCTTGTTGTGGTTGTCTATCAAACAAGTACTTCTATCACTTCTTTAGAAGTGTCCGTGCTGGTAGCTGATACTCTATATTCATATAAATGAACTTTTTACAGGACAGCTCAATATCAACATGGAATGATGTTGTTTTCATCCCTCCTGGTTTTGACGTTTCCACCACTTCTCCCCCAAGGTAACCTGACCTTTGCCTGCGCTCCGTTTTGGCACCTCTTGGAAAGAAGTCAAGAACACAGTCATCTTTTACGTTGAAGTAGGACAACTACTAGTTTAGTAGCAGTGTTTCCTATCTCTGCTCTTCACATAGAGTATCATTTTTATCTTCTCAAATCTCAAATTGGTTTGACATTTGTAAAGTAATTATGTTGGTAAGTTCATATATGTCAATGAGATTATTGATTTTGATGAATGATAGTGAAATGTCGCTGCAAAATGCAAATTGATGGTTACTGTTGCTTGTTTCTTGGGCCATTGGGCGTGTTCAATGGCACCTACCAAAGTGATGCAAAGTGATGTATGAGGCTTTAGAAAATGAGAACCATACCCTAATCCAATTTCAGGCCAAAACAATCGTCTAAAAAAATTGGATGGATCGGAACGGCCAAACCGGGACCATATCCAACAATACAAAAAAGATATTTGGCATTTGAACTAAAAAAAAGATCACTTTACATTAAAACATCTTACAACGGAACCGAATACTCAAGTCTTTGTGATGAAAAACTCAAAATGAGACAAACTTTTTGGGTATTATTTTTTTCCCAGCTCCACGCACGCCTTCCCCTCCAAACCTTCATTTAAGGTCCATCAAGTATCTTTTGTTTGTTTGAAAAATCAAGATCAAATAATGTTTTAATAAAAACGGAGTAGCAAATTCAAACCAACATAACTTGATTTCAATTTGGTATTGACCCCCATCCAACCCGTTATAAAATAAACCTAACAAAAAACTACACTGAACCTGAAGTGCATATTAAGTATTAACTACCTGTAGCATAGGTAGAAGGGCCAACCTTGGGCAGGCCTACATTTTATACTGACTCTTTGTTAAGCGGCACAATAATCAAGAACATGAATATATATGAAAGCTGCCAATTCTAAAACTAATTCTTTAGACTACCCATTTATATAGATTTATGTCATACAAAAAAATAGAGCTCGAACCACTGCAAGATGACTTATAGAAAGCGTGGACTCTCAGTATTTTAATGTTAAAGCACGAATCATCATCCCTGCACCAGATTGTTGAGTTGAGAGAACAAATGACGAAAATTACCGAGATTTACTCATAAGGCATGAGCACATAACCATTATGAGGTTATTATGGTTATTTTCACTGTAATTACATCTAATAGTTGTTAATTTTCACGATTAGGCTAAGATAAACGATAAATTTAAAGCAAGAACACAAGAATTTACGTGGTTCACGCAATCGGAGTGATTACGCTAGTCCACGGCGAACGAGAGAGAGATGTATTATTATTTCAACGTCTGGTGTGTTTACAGATACATTAGGGATGTTTAAATAGGTTTAAGAAAGCCTAAACAAGGGTTAAGGCCGCAGGCCCAAAAATTAATCCCGTCATTAATTTTTCCCGTATACTCGATCGAGTATACATACATACTCGATCGAGTATAGATTCCAGAATTCTGCCCGAGTAGTGTTTTTACACATACTCGACCGAGTATACCTCCATACTCGATCGAGTATAAACTCCAGAATATAACCCGAGTAACCCTTACACGCATACTCGACCGAGTAATAATCAATACTCGATCGAGTGTAGAAACCAGGGAAATACTCGACCCATCAAACACCTCATACCCGATCGAGTAACCCAACATACCCGATCGGGTATATACTCCTGCATTCCAAACAAGGCTCCATCTTCAACAATCTCCCACAGTCCCACTTGGAGGCTTGTTCAACAGTCATCTGCCATCCAAGAACATGTATCCTCTGCAACACCCCTGATCTCTATCTCTCATTCACACCTTCCCATCAAGTATCTGGAAGGCCAGTTGAAGCCATGCATAGCTTCAACTTCTCCGTTGTCACCACCTTGGTAAGCATGTCTGCTGGATTCTTCGTACCAAGGATCTTTTTCAAGTTTATGATACCGTCTTCAATCAACTCTCGGATAAAATGGTATCGCATCTTGATGTGTTTCGTTCTGCTATGAAACACTGGATTCTTCGCGAGGTGAATAGCACTCTGGTTGTCACAGTGCAGTCCGCAATCCCCCTGTTCCATGCCCAACTCCGAAAGAAAGTTCTTCAACCAAATCAACTCTTTGGCCGCTTCAGCAATGGCCATATACTCTGCTTCTGTGGTCGAAAGAGCCACACTCTTTTGAAGTCTGGACATCCAACTGATCGCCGTGCCTCCAATTGTGAATATGTAACCCGTAGTGCTCTTCCCGGAATCACAACAGCCCCCCAAATCAGCATCAGCAAATCCTTCTAGAATTACTCCATTCCTTCTGAAACAAAGACCAGTTCCAGAAGTGCCTTTCAAGTAGCGTAGCAGCCACTTGACTCCTTCCCAATGTTCCTTCCCTGGATTCGACATGAACCTGCTAACAACTCCCACTGCATGAGCAATGTCCGGCCTTGTTGACACCATTGCGTACATCAAGCTGCCAACGGCTGATGCATAAGGAACTTTAGCCATCTCATCTTTGTCTTCATTGGTCTTTGGAGACTGCTGCTTGGAGAGTTTCAGCTGACTCCCTAAAGGTGTACTCCTTGGCTTGGCATCCGTCATTCTGAACTTCTCAAGGACTTTCTGAATGTACTTCTGCTGTGAAAGCTTTAAAGTACCTTCCACCTTGTCTCTGACTATGCTCATCCCAAGAATCTGTCTCGCCTCCCCTAAATCCTTCATCTCAAATTCTTCGGACAACTTCTTCTTGAGCTTGTTGATCTCCTGCATGTTTGATCCAGCCACCAACATGTCATCAACATACAAAAGAAGAATAATGTATGATGACTCGAATTTCTTCAAGTAACAACAATGGTCCATCTTGCATCTAGTGTACCCATTCCGCTGCATAAAACTATCAAACTTCAAGTACCACTGTCTAGGAGCTTGCTTCAGTCCGTATAGACTCTTCTTGAGTTTGCACACCAACTTCTCCTTACCACTTACTGAGAAACCTACCGGTTGAGCCATGTAAATGTCTTCTTCAAGGTTGCCATGAAGAAAAGCAGTCTTCACATCCAGCTGCTCCAAGTGTAAATTTTCAGCTGCAACGATACCAAGAATCAACCTGATAGTGGTCATCTTCACAACCGGGGAGAAGATTTCATTGTAGTCAACCCCCTTCTTCTGTTGGAACCCCTTGACAACTAGCCTGGCCTTGTATCTTTTGCTCCCTCTGCTTCATCTTTGATTCTGAAAACCCACTTGTTCTCCAATGCTTTCTTTCCCGGTGGTAACTTGACTAAGGACCAAGTTTGGTTCTTGTCAAGTGAATCTAACTCATCTTCCATGGCCTTCTTCCACTGTATGGAATCTCTCACAGCCAACGCCTCTGAGTAAGATTCTGGCTCTCCATTCTCGGTCAGCAATAGATAATTTGCTGAAGGAGAATACCTGTTAGGAGGTCTCCTGATTCTGGTGGACTGTCTGATGTGTGGAGTAGCTGCCTCTGAACTCCCACTGTCTTCATCACTCCCACTATCTTCAGACATTCCTGTATCTCCTGAGCTCCCACTGCTCCCTGAGCCTCCAGCCGTCTCATCACAACCGACCGGTTGTGCTATGTCATCTTCAGTCATCCCTTCAAACACCACTTGCTGTTTGTTTTCTGGTTGCTTGCCTTTGCTTGTTCCTGCTGCAAGACCATCTTTATAAAGGGCATTCTCGTTGAAGGTGACATCTCTACTTCTGATAACCTTCTTGCTTTGGTTGTCCCAGAACCTGTAGCCCATGTCATCCGACCCGTACCCAATAAAGATACACTTCTTTGCCTTTGCCTCAAGCTTGTCACTATCTGCATCTCTGACTTTGACATAAGAAATACAACCAAAAACTTTCAAGTGATTAAGAGATACCTCACGACCTTTCCATTCCTCTTCTGGAATTTTGAAACCAATGGGAGATGAGGGTCCTCTGTTGATCAAGTACGCTGCTGTGTTCACTGCATCGGCCCAGAACATCTTGGGAAGTCCTGCATGCAATCTCATGCTTCTGGCCCTCTCATTCAATGTTCTGTTCATCCTCTCTGCAACACCATTTTGCTGTGGTGTTTCTGGAACCGTCTTCAGCATTCTGATCCCCTGTTCAGCACAATACTCTACAAACTCTGTGCTACTATACTCACCCCCATTATCACTCTTTAAACACTTAATTTTGAGATTTGTTTCATTCTCAACTGCAGCTTTGAACTTCTTAAAAGTGTTAAAGACATCGGATTTATTTTTAAGAAAATAAACCCATACCTTCCGTGTAGAGTCATCAATGAATGTAACATAGTAGCGGGAACCTCCAATTGAAGAGACCTTTGTAGGTCCATAGACATCTGAATGAATCAACTCCAGTCGCTCAGTCTTGGGTTGCTGTCCTGTCTTCACAAAGGTTACCCTCTTTTGTTTGCCTAGAACACATGGCTCACAAAAGGTCAACTTTGAATTCTTCAAATCTGGGATTTTGCCCTTTGAAGACAACATCTTCATTCCATTCTCACTTATGTGCCCAAGTCTTTGATGCCACAAAGTAGAGATCCCTGTATCTTCAACTGCTGCGTTTGCTCCATCTGTAGACACTTCAACCATGTACAGTGTACCATGCTTTTGTCCACGAGCAATGACCAGCTTTCCCTTTGTTACCTTCCATTGCTTGTTGCCAAAACTAACGTTATGGCCTTCCTCATCAAGCTGTCCTACTGAGATCAACATCTTCTTCAGGTCTGGAATATACCTGACATCTTTCAGCCTCCAGGTTGTACCCAAAGTGGTACTGAGATCAACATCCCCAATACCCTTGATCTCCAGGAATTTATCATCCGCCAAACGAACTCTTCCGCCGTAGGGCCTGAAATTTTTCATCAAATCCCTGCAATGACAAGCATGAAACGACGCACCTGAATCCATGATCCAGGACTCAACTGAATTCTCAACGCTGCAAATTAGAACATCTTCATAATCTTCTGCCACGTTCACCTCCTTCTTGCCTTTATTTGTTGAGGCTTTTGGGCACTGATTTCTGAAGTGTCCATTCTCCTTGCAATTCCAACAATTGATGTCCTTCCTGTTCTTGGATTGACCCCTCTTTCTCGACTTTGATCTTCCTTTCTTGCTACCCTCTTTAGTGGATTTTCTGCCCCTATCTTCAGTACTCAACAAACTATTGGAGCTATCCCCCGAACTCCTCCTCCGGATATCCTCACCAAGGATTAAGTCACGAATACCTTCAAAGGTAAGCTTAGTGGTTCCAGCCGAACTGCTAACTGCTGTGACTGT